ACTTTTTGAAAAATCCCGCGCGACGTTTTCAGGCCAATAAGTCATTGAATAATTGACGAAAAAAAAATCCGCTGGGGCATTATGAGAAGAATAAATGGGCTGCCGATTGTCGAAAACTGTCACCAAATATTTGGCCCCGTTTAGAAATTAGAGTGAATGCAAGAAAGGGGTAGTTTTCGATGCAATTTACAACTTCCTCGCACATTAGACAAGTCCGTGCTCGCTTAATTTTCAAGCAAAAAATTCGAACAAAAAAGCATTGGAGAGTGCATTTCATTAGCAATAATGTGGTGTTTGAAAAATTGAAATCGGATTATGCATTCGGCCGCTGCTGCAACAAATGCGCGCAAAATGGCAAAATGTTGATTCAGTGACCTTGAACAAAAACATGCTACTATTCAAGACGCTGCAGAAAAAAAACTATAGAAGATAGAGGGATGCTGTCGCTGAGTTTTTTATAGCAAAAAGCTTCAGCTACAACATTAATTTGAAACTTTTTGCTATTGGACCATCCTTTTGAGCAGCGTTCTCCATAAACCTCAAATTACCCCTAAAAACCACCCCTAACTGAAAACCCTATGGAAGTACAAGGTCGCAAACTTAATATGTTGTTTAGCATATTAGAATCAACCGATCCCTCCAAAAAAATTTCAACTTCTAATTATGTTGAGGTAACCCCTCTTTTCAGATCTCCGTTTCTTGGACTATACGTTGACAAGGACAAAACATTCGTTCTATCGGGAAGCTCTACTCCCTGGCCCGAGGATCGGCCACCAGGAGACAGAATACATGCCTTCGACCATATGCGACAGCCGTCTGTGGGGCACATTTACTTGGTGTCGCATAGGCTGCGTCAGCCGTACGGAAAGGGTTAATCAAAATGTTGACCATTTACTTCAATGCAAAGATTCCACCTTCAGGTCATTGACTGAAAAGTTTAGTCTACGAAACACCTGCTCGTAATGAGGAAGATCTGTTAGCAAGGATACTGGCGAGTTGTACCCATGTAGAAGCTATTCCCGGAATATTCCAAAGGGTTCGCGAGTCAATGACCCGACGACGGTGCAATCTTTGCATTGAAGTAAATGGTCAACATTTTGAACAATTATTGTGAACAAACAGTGATTTAATTATTGCGAAGAATAAAAGTAACAAACAGTTTTTTTGCTCTACAGCCCAAATGGCTCATTTGCGGACATATGTTTATATAAACAAAAATGCTTATTTTGATGTCCCTTACTACCCTTTAAAGTTTGTCGGTATCTTTCTGGGACACCCTGTATATTTTTGACCGGTGTTTTGTGTTTAAGGTATTTTGGATTATTTTGTATATTTGTTTACTGACAAGGACAAGGGCCAAAACTTTTATAATTTCATTAAAATCGAAAATTGCTGAAAACCTATTGGATGCATTTGGCTTGTTAATCAAGTTGAAATAATATTCAATTCCACTATATACCTAATTAAAATTGGTGAAAATTTGAAATCAATCCTAGGTACAATTATTATTTAATCCTTTTGATGAAAGCCGATGAATGATGTAGATACCCATTAAAATATTTTTATAGGTAACAAATAACCCGCTTTGGTTTAAAACATGCAATGACATATATTATCGAAATCAGAACATGCTTTATTGTCCAAAATACATGGTATTTATTGACAAAGCTTCACAACTAATCACCTATAAATAAAAATTACAGTCCAATCCAATTTAACACAGATCCAAATTAAAATGATAAAGTCAACGACAAGAGTGGAAATAAATATACAGACCTGAAACGAGGCCTCAATATATAATTTTAAATATCCTCAAGGTATTCTTCTACGATTTCTGAACTAGCGTAGATCTAGGTATGGGGAGAGCGATGTAGAAAGTCTGTCTTCTCTTGTAGCTAAAGTTATTCTGACCTAATGGATGGTAGAAATCGCGATAGTCCATTTCTGCGATCAAACAAGTTGCTTTTCTTTTCCAAAACGAATAAAGATTGGAACAGTTTGATTGCAATTAACCTAGAAAGGGACTGCATATCTTAGATCAAACTTAATGAGAGGAAAATACACACTGCGTGCGCAAGAGGCGTCTAGATGTCTGGGGACAATCCTCGAAGCGAAGCATCTCCTGGCAAGTCTACGGCAGCGAGCAGAAACATGCTCATGGAAAACAATCGGTTATCAAGATGTTACCCTCGAAATTTAGATCACTCATACTCAGAGATCACATGACCCCCTATCTCAAGTCAAAGTGTTCGTTTTCCCACTGTCGATAAAAAGCAAATTAGAGTTATACCACTGTCCCACCATCCCGACGTCATCCTCAATAATTTCATTCATGTGACATGAATCCATATTTCAATACCATAGTTGTAGTGATGAGCGAGACTGGTCTTGGTCTTGGTCTTGCAGAAAACGCAAGACCAAGACCAAGACCACTATTGAACTGCAAGACCAAGACCAAGACCGAGCAGTGCAAGACTTATGCAAGACCAAGACTAGTGATGCCGCGAGACTCGAGACTGGTCTCGTCTCGTCTCGTCTCGACTTTTCGGGACGAGACTGGCTTTTAGTCTCGTCTCGTGAAGTCTCGACGAGACGAGACCAGACCCGGCGAGAGTCTCGTGTAGTCTCGAGTCTCGACATTACAAGTAAAATTTTTCTTTCATAGCTTTATTATTGGACTATTTTGGGTTATTCGAATATGAAATTAGTAAATTTTAATACTAACAATTGATTTATCTTTCCTTACCTTGACTGGGCGCGCAACTCGTGGGTTGCAGGTGAGCGTCCAATGAGAAGCGAGTTTGTTACGGGCTTCTGTCATATTCTTAATCAGGGGCTAGTTCAGAATTAATCGTTCCTTCTTTCTTTCTAACGTGTAATGCAACAAAGTGCAAACTAATACTTTACGTATTACTTCTGAACTCACTGCAGTGCTGTTTAAAATTATGTCAGATTATACTTGACATATTCCTTTGCACTTTCATTGTGCGATGTTGCCGGATGAAACATTTATCAAAATAAAAGTGCAAAAGATGTTAACATACACTTTAAAGCTCTTCTTTTGTCTGATTTAAAGCGTTGCAAAACACGTTGTAAAATATCAATTTTTTATTAGAATGATGTTCGATTTGTATGGCCTACATTTGTTCTGCAACAATACAAACTGGCTACTCTGCAACCCACTAGTTGCGTGCGCATGTCATCTTTTATTACTTTCCAACTTGTATTTATTACAATTAAACTATCTTTTTCTATTTATGTGTGACGTCAATTAATTAGATGATTTCTACGTGAACGTGTCACGAGGGTTCATACTTTTTGCCTTCCTTTTTTAACAAACAGAAATTGACTGAAACAAATCAATGACGTCAAAAGCGTTCCTCGGTTCTTAAACCAGAAGTCATTCATTTCAATTTGTCAAAAAAATTGAATGTGTCATATGAATTAATCTACGACAACCCTTTCTTTTCAAGTTATGACGTGTTCGATATCAAAAGTATGAACCCTGGGGAAACGATCTGTACCTACTTAATTTTCATATTTCACTTTCGGTTTAGCCAGTAGAGAGATCAATTTGAAAAATGTTTAAAGTATAAGCACTTCCGGCTAAACTGGAAGTTAGATCTGAAAATAAAGTATGTAGAAAGCATGCCATTATTTCACAAAAAAATTACAGGGTGATTCTCTTCTCAAAAACTGTTTTGTCCGAATTTTTTTTTTTAATTTGACGTTTATGTTTTTCCAAATATCACGGTTACTCTTTACTGTGATTTGTCACTTTTTAAATAACTGCTTTTTCACTGTGGCAGTTTGGAGTTCCGTTATAATTTAAAAATAAGAACCATAAATACAGGATGTCCGAAAAATAGCGTAAAAGCTCTCCACGTAGTAGGGGACCCTTTGAGAAACCCTAGAAAAATAATTTGAAAAATTCTTCTCCAGCATTATTCTTGGTAAGATGAAGAAGTAAATGTAGAAATTCACCTTCGAATTCTACAGGTAATTACATATGTATTTAATTTACTGCTTTGACACATTTTCAACGGGATATTCTCAGTGTTGCCAATATTAATAAATATTAAAATGCAAATAACTTTCTTAAGAATACCACTAGATTTTTTTTTTGTTTTTTTTTGGGATTCCTGGAAGGGTCCTCCACCAAGTAGTGAAGAGCTTTTACGCTATTTTTCGGACACCCTGTATAACTCGAGACCAGACGAGACCGCTCGAGACGAGACCGCTCGAGACGAGACCGCTCGAGACGAGACCGCTCGAGACGAGACCGCTCGAGACGAGACCGCTCGAGAGGAGACCGCTCGAGACGAGACCGCTCGAGACGAGACCGCTCGAGACGAGACCGCTCGAGACGAGACGAGACGAGACTTTGGTACTCGAGTCACGGTCTCGTCTCGAGATGTCGAGACGAGACGAGGCCAACCTTAAGTCTCGTCTAGTCTCGTCTCGCGGCATCACTAACCAAGACTTAGCATTGCAAGACTTACGCAAGACCAAGACTGAGCATGCAAGTGTCTTGCGGCCTTGCGTTTTTGTTCCATTTTTTTTCTGAATATTACTGATATTTAGTATGTATTTGATATAGTTGTTTGTAGTTGAATATAACATATCGTCGCCTTAGTAAGAAAAACGCGTAAGTTCATTTTGGTAAATTTTACAGCAGACGATAAAAATTGGTTTTTAACTTTCATATAAGTGATAAAATATTCTAATTTTGCATAGGTAATTATATGTCGATACATCAGATTTATTGCATAAGGTTGAACTTTTAAAACAATTTAATTTTTGTGATTTAAAAAGGAGTTACGCTTTTTTCCTATAAAAAAATAACAAAAAAGTTGGAGTTACGCGTTTTTCGGAAATAAAAATGTAGAGGGTAAAGGGGGCAAAACTTATTTTATTTCAAATAAAACTCAAGATTTAATTCAGTAAACCAAATCAATAATTCTAAAGAAAAGGAAAGTAATTTTAAAAAACAGATTTTTTTATTCAAATGGCAGTTCATCGTAGAATTTCTGGTAATCTTCCAATAGACCTAATTTCAAAATTTGTAGGTGATCATACTTTTCCTTTTTAATTTTCCTGCGTTCTGTAAACAATGGAAGTAGATCGTCATACTTGCAGGGAGTAATCTTTTTATTCAATCGTTGGTTTAAGGCAGCCCATGGATCAGTATGTCTCATTTTAAATTGAATTTCGCAATTCGGGAAATATCTCAGGGCCTTTATGTCAGTGACAACAGGGTCGCCCGCTGCCCTACCTGGGCGTATTGAATTATAGAATTTTAGATTGTCAAATTTTTTAAAAAAGCTGTGAGAAATATACTTGACATTGTATGGAGATGGATTGGATCTTGCCTTTTGGCAATGATATGCATAGTCAGCTGGAAGGTTTATTTTGCGATCCCTGATCTGTCTTTCAATAGTAGCATGCATCGAGTCCACCTCCATTTGGGTGTGACCCTTGAATAAATACTTCTGAGTGAGAATTATATTGTGCTGAGCAGCTAAATTTACAAACGCATTAGCCAATGTTGAGTTACGATTTTGGCCCGTACAACCATCACTGAAAAATATCATTTCACGTAAAGCACCGTCACACTTTTTTATTTCTTGTTCAATAAAAAAGCTTATTATGCTGGAAAATTCATTGGCAGTCAAGCCCCCTTCGCTTTCGTTCCAAAGAAAACAAAAGCCTTCTTTGTTTTTTAGATTGTAAATGGTAAAGTTATGTACTATAAGTTTGGTTTTATAGTACATTGCAGAAACTGTTGATTTGGGACTCAATAACACACTCTGTAAATCCATTGCATAAACGTTAACTGTTATGTCACTACTAGATTTGTCCCTTTCCTTTTCTTGACGCGCCTCTTGTTTAAAAGTTTGATGCATGTTATACTTTTCCTCAGATAAGTTTTTCGTATTATATGCCTCACACACATCACATAGGTCTTTTTTTGGAGCGTATAGTGACAACTTCAGCTCTTCAAATATCTTCATAAATGTATGTATGGATGATGTCTGCAATTGGTGTTCGACGCAAATCTTTTTATAAAAAACTTATACAGTTCGGCATGTGAACGCCAAAGCGGTTCAAGGTACATTTTTTTCGAGGAAGCCCTGCAATAATGGCTCTCCATTTTTGGTAGCGATTGAAGAAACTGGTAAACAGCTGCATTTTTTTCTGCAAATTTTGCCCTTCTTGCTTCGCTTTTCTTGCTGATATTAGGGTCTGATCCAGCTCCGATATTATTTTCCTTGTCAGCATTTTGAAATTCTTTTATCCAACCCAATATCATTGTTTCTTTTAACCCCAGAGTACCTCCAAACATACGCTTGCAAACTCGAATTCTTTCCAAGTCCACTTTTAAAAAATATTTCATGGAATATTTCCTCCTTGATACAGCTTCTTCCCCGCCTCTTCTTCTTTTAACATTTTCACACTGAACCAAAGCCTGTATCTGTATTTTCCTTTCATTCCAGGTCATTTTGTTCCAAAATGTTTGGAAAATATTTAGGCGTTTTTCTTCTGTCATTTTTTGACACTGAATTGCGGAACTTTTTTTACTGAGACTGCAGTTGCACGGATTTGACAGAAATTTACCTGAAAAAGAAAAAATAACATTTTATATAAATTCCTGAATTGTTTTCACATTTTGCATGATGTATCAGTTTTAGAATACCTGAAACTAGGTAGGTAGGTAGGTACCTGGTTTGTTTATGTTGTAGTTCCAATTACTTTCTCCAATTTTCTTTTTACCCTGATACGGTTGGCCTCTTAAACGTTTATATTTATTTGTGTTATAGTGCCAATCTTCAGGACGTTTTCTCTTCTTTCGAGTTTTTCTATTATTTAGGCCGTCATCGGTTGGTTAATTTCTATCATCGCCGGGTAGTGGTTCATTTCTATCTTCATCGGATAGTGGTTCATTATTTCTTTCTTCGCTGTTGTCTTCATTATCTGAACTCATCCCAGACTCGCATTCTTCAGGAACATAAGAATCATCAGATTCGTTGTTTTCAGGTGAAATAGCCGTAATATTATTATCGACGAAATCTAGTTGTTCCGGTTCTAAGAAAGAAAGGTTTTCCCCTTCATTATTACTTGTATTAGCATCATTTATGTTCAAAACTATGGGTAATTCCGAGTGATGGTCAAAACTGGTCGAAATACTGGGATTATTAAACTCTTCGCCTATTTCATCAGTGTAGTCCGCGTTTATCAGTAATGGAGAGTAAGGTGTTCCATCATTCATACTGCTACACATTTGTGCATCATTGGAAGATAAAAATCCGTCTTCATCAACTGTGTATTCCACAATCTCCACACGGGAAGTACTTGCTTGCTGCTTAACCATTTCCATTATATGTTTTGTTCGGGATGACATCCTAGAAAGTACTTTTATTATCCTTAAAGTAAAATCTAATATTAGAATATAAAAAAGCTATCTGCATCTTTCCTAATATATTATAATGGAAAACCGCGTAAGTACGCTATAACAATAGCAACGTGACTTTGGAAAACTGCGTATGTCCGTAGCCTTCCAAAGAGACGCAAAATAGCTAAAATATTTGTTATTGATTGATAAAACTTTTGAAAATACTATACAAACACTCTTACCTTAAGGATTTAGTAGTTATTTGCGCAAAAGTATCTTAATTTCTTCACTCACTGCTTCTTTTTCAGCAACCACCTGCACACACCATTGAAACTCATAAACAAACTGGGAGTTACGCGCATTTCTTAGCCTAAATTTGACGAATGGATGAGATACGCGGTTTGCTTGACAGCATTTTTGAGCGGGAAATAAATTTTTTTGAGTTACGTGGATTTCTAGTTATTTAGGTATGATGTTTTGCCATTAGATGGCATTATAAGTCCAATTTGAGCCAAAATTGGAGTTACGCGGTTTTCTTACTAAGGCGACGATATCTAACTATTGTCATAGGCTCTGTTACTGGTATTGGGGCCTACCCTATCCTAATTACAATTATCAAACATATCTAAATTTTCAATGTAAATCGAATTGGTGTTTAAAAGTAAAAGATTTTTCTGTCCATAAAATTTTTCATTTGCTGAGAAATGCATAAAACTGATGTACACTTTCTTCATTGAGCAATCCTAATTTTGGTTTATTTCTAATCCCAGCTGAGGTAACGGGCCCCATTGACTTAGATATACTATTAAAAGAATAGCTGCATGAGATTATCAAGAAAAAAGATAGAAGGCATAAAAAAAACAAATGATATGCTAGTTTAGATGAAATGGTTTTTGTGTTAACGCCGCCCGCAATTAATTGTAAATATCAGTGGCGCACCCATGGGGGCATCGGGTTGCCGCCCCCCCCTCAGGCTGCTATCCAAGCCTGTATTTTCACGTATAAGAAAATGTGGCAACATCAGGGCGCAGCACCCTGACACCTCAATTTTTTGTTTAGATTTTCAGACACAATCCATAACCTAAACTGCTGGACAAATGAAACGGAACAAGCGAATTTTTAGGTTAACTTCAAATTCCAATATTACGCGAACTGAAAATAATATCAATGAGCGGTTCGCGAAAACTAACTTCTTAATTACGCAAATCATTCATTGATAACTTCTTCAGTTCGCGTATTATTGGAATCCAAAGTTAAATTAAAAATTCGCTTGTTCCGTTTCATTTGTCCAGCAGTTTATATGTAGGGGCCCCCAAACATATTCTCTGGGTACGCCACTGGTAAATACAAATAAAGATGTTTCAATATTACAGGGACAAACTTAAACAAGTGATCCCTTAACTTCCAATGTTTCTTTGAGCATTTTTTACTTGAAAAAATTGCCTGATTTAAGTACTTGTTAAAATTTGCTGCTGTGGTAGAGGTACTCAATATTGAAAAGCCAAAATTTTGATACCGGCATATACTCTCCTTTTCTTTAAACATTTACTTACTTCAAGTAACATGAAAAACGATTTTTTTTACATTTTTTTTGTTAAAATTCCCTGCAGTAAAAATGTACCAAATAAATGCAAGACTTCCCAAACAACACAAAGTTGTCTAAAAGACGCCTTCAAGATGTCTTGTGTAGATTTTCAAGATGTCTTTTAGATGTCTTACGACGCCCAATTGATGTCTTTAAGACGTCTTAGAGACGTCGGATGTTACAAAATGAGACGTCTTAGTAATGTCCTATTCAGATCATTTTAGTACTATTTCCCCCACCTCTCCTTTTATTTTATTATTAAAATAAGAGTCATATGTACAGTGGGAATCATTGCAATTGACGCATACTCTTTCAACATTCCTCGTATTTAGTCAAAATGCTAACCAATAATTCTGTTTAGTGCATTGGTGTACATGATAACTTAGCTCCTGTCGGATCCATTTTCCCTTTAAATTCATGATCGCGCTACTACGAGAACCTAGGGCTAAGGCAATTATCTCACCTTGTGCTATCATTTCAATTGCCTCTTGCCTTTTCGTCAATATTAAGCATATGCTAGACCATTTTAGGAAACAAATATTTTTTTCCTTTAACAGTTTATTAAAACTATTATGTTCACCACTGACTTTTCAATCTGACAAGATTTTGACATAACCTGTGTGTCAAACAAGTAAAATTTTGACACATGATAGGGGATGTTTTTAAAGTGTGTGCCAATTGCAATGATTCCCACTGTACGTATGAGTATACATAATGATAATATATTAAATATATATATAAATGCAGAAAGAAAATATCAAATAATAGAATCAAATAAACTATATTCTAATATACAGATTGTACCAAAAAGTAGGCCAGGCCAATCACTTAAATTATTACCTTTTATGGTTAATGGATTTGCCCACTTTTTTGGTACAACCTGCTTATTTCAAACAAAAACAACTTACAAACTATACAAGAAAAATATAATATATAGGTACTAATATTATATTAAATATAAATAAATGCAAAAAAAAAATAATCAAATAATAGAACCAAATAAACTATATTCTAATATACAGATTGTACCAAAAAGTAGGCCAATCACTTAAATTTATTACCTTTTATGGTTAATGGATTGGCCCACTTTTTTGGAATAAACTGCATATTCAAACAAAAACAACTTACAAACTATAGAAAGGAAATGCAAATAAACTTTAAGAAAAACATGAAAATGAAAAAAACTTTACAAATTTTAAAAAGTTTTATTCATAATTGTAGCCCTTCTATCTGAGGCTCTTCTAAGCCACGTTTGAACAGCAATTTCTGTGGCCTTTTTTGATTCCGTCAGACCTGCGGTTTCTGCAGCTCCTAAAAAATACCATTTAATATACATGGTGACCCAATCATTAACCCAAGGTAAAAAAAAAAGTGAAGCAATAATACAACCATTGTTTGCAATTATGTCTGCAAATGCTTCAAAACCTAAAAGAAGGTGTTCAAATATTATTTACTTACTTATTATGAGTCTTGCAAAATTGGTGTTGCTAAAATTTTTATTCCCTTTCATGCCCTTCCAGCTGTATTTCAGTGCTTGGTTTTTTGACAGAGTCAGCTGAAAAATTCTTTTCACATAATCATAGGTTCCACTACCTCCTAATTTTGAGAGTTCTCGAGTCTACAAATTATTTAAAAAAAAAAAATTATGACATAAGATTTTATTTTTAATCATTATTAATATTTTCAGCATTGTCGAATTCCTCCTCATTTGTGATAAGGTTTTCGAATTTTTCAAAGTCCTCATCAGAATCAATGGGGAAATGAATGTCCCTGCTTTGAAAAAAGCTGGTTCGTCTATTTTCTTTATTATTGCCTTTCAAGACTTCCTTTTAAATGACTCGTACCTCTGCCAGTGTTTCCAGCATTAAATTGCGTAGAATATGGCCTTGCTGGATTAATGTATCTAAATTTTTGTCTGAAATAGAAAAATGATTTTTACATTACATATATTTTTAATACAGTTTATAATTAATCATCACCAAAAAAAAATCAAATTATGAAATCAATATTTCAGCAGTCCATTTCATTACATAATGTGGATTTTGCATATATCTACTTACTGGTTAAATAACCTATTTTCAAAAATTTCTTAGAAGAAAAGGCAATTGTAACATAATACCTTTATTTTCAATGCTCTTGGAGAAACTTGGTCCAGCCTTGTCTGAATTCAGTTTAGCCCGTCCTGAACTTGGTCCTGCACCGTCTTCCTCTGGCCCAGTATTCAAACTAGGAGTTTCTATTTCTTCCTCAATACGTTTCAATCCAGTATCTGTAAATAAATTGTATTTTTTGCAAAAAATTCAAGTACACGAACAGACTAGGGCTTATATTTTTTATTGTACAGGAAGATACTCACAAGCTTTCCTTAGTTTCGGAGCAGGAGGCAGGAGGGAAACTTCCTCATTATCACTGCTTTCACTACTGGAGAAAGCTTTTCTCACCCGTTTTCTTTTATTAATTTCTTTTTCGTTGTCTGTATTTGAGTCGCTGGTGTCCTCGGCTATCTCGGTATGACCCTTGTATGTGGCATTTACTACAGGAAACATTTTTGCAGGGGCGTCACAAATGAATGCTTTTATTTTAATGTTGAAATGTTTGTTATTAATTACAAGTCTATTACTTATAATATTTATGGAATCATATCAACAAATTCTCTTAAAAACTCATTTGGATCTTTAGGCTTTTCATTTCCATGATAAATCCCAACCATGCTTACAATATTTGTGCCAACTATTGATATCAAAATTGGGTATACTTGGCTACTGGAACTTTTTGATAATGGCAATCCGTCAATATTAACATAGGTCAATGTTATTTTCATGGAAATTATTTCCCACAGTAGAAATTATATTCATAATTGCTTGATTTAAACCTAAGTGATAATAATGGCCTGGAGGTACAGCTCTCAGTTCTACATTTCGGATGGTTTGAAGTAATGTTCGAGCATCTAAAGGCAGAGAAATATTACCCGAATCTTTAAGAATTTTAAGCAAGTCATTTGTGGCCACATTGGGAATATTATACTTTACTGCCCAGATAGCCAGCCTATCAGCTAGTGAACTGTCTATTTTGTCTGTATTGGTTCTTTGTAAACCATAATCCAAAATATCATTCTGGGTTTCGGTTTCACTTTCACTATCCGATGATAAGTGATGATCAGGTGTCATGTCAGAACTTAGGTTAGAGTTTTCATCCAACTCGGGTCTTTCAATAATTTGACTACGAGGTAAATGATATGAACACGATGGAATAGCATCATCTCTCAATGCGTCATCTGAAATTTCTGCTGATGGAATTTCATCAGCACTCTCCACTGTGCTGCAAGAAATATCCTGCTTACTGGCATTTTGATACCTCTTGGCTCGCATATAATACTTCTGCAAGTTTCGCTTCATACTAACACTATAAATAGCAGTTCAATTGCAAATTATTTATAGTAGGTAAAGAAAATATTAAATTAATAAACTACCAAATTCTTTTCTTACCTGAAAGCTGAGAACTCCTTCAACAGAAACAACACAACCTCACACAACAAAGTAGTCCAAACATTTGCAAACACTCAAAAAAAAAACAGTAAAAACACAGATACGTCTTCGACTACAACCTTCGACTTCGTAACCACAAAAAAATGGCTTCTCGACAAACGGCAAAATCTAAGGGTAGAAGAAATAAGGAAAAATCGATATTCAATCCGTCCCCGTGTTTGGCTACTGAGAGTGAGATAAGACATGCGTTTCGGCCTTAAAACGATATGGAAATACACAGTTGTAATGGAATAGAGCGTGATAGAAATATTAGTTTGTATATTTGCCACTGTCACGATCGTCGCACTACTCTGTGCTGTACGCACGGTTTGTAATTGGTTTTTGTTTCTCCTCTATGCAATAAGGCACATTTTCCAGCAACACCAGCTTGGCTTAGAAATTATGGTTTCAGTCTTTTGAGTTGTAGGTAACCGGGGAGCGTCGTGGAGAGTGGAGAGCGGTAATAATAATAGGAACAGGGGTTTGCGGTCAACAACATCGACCAGGCTAAAGCGCCCAGAATGCTCGCTAGGCGAGTATGTGAGCACAGCCTGCTGCGCACGCTGCAATTTTAGTTTAAGAAGTCCTGTCCTAGATTTAAGTAAATGTTGTATATTTGTAGTTTGAGGGGGGCCTATCCCCCTACCTGTAAATGTATATTGATGAAATTTTGAAATGAAGATGTTCGAGTTTGAGTTTGAGTTTTGAGTTGGGTTGAGTCTTGCCTAGGCGAGTCTGGGTTCCATTCCCGTGAAGTTCTTTTTTTACTTTTTTTTACTAATTTCAAAAAATTTAAATCAAAGAGCAGTTATTTAGTAAACACCTACTTTTTTAAACATCATGTGTAAAGGTAAAAGGCATATTTGAACCAGACATCCTTTAGGTGTCGTCTGGATATCTAAAAGATGTCTTTCACAGACGTCTCAAAGATGTCGTCCCGTTTCAAGTCTTTCGGCGTGAAGACGTAAACTGGATCTAAAAAAGACGTCTTGAAGGCGACGTGTGCTGTCTGGGTTGCAAGAGTCTTGCTTCAAGACCAAGACCAAGACTGGACTCTGCAAGACCAAGACCAAGATCAAGACCACTTATTAGACACCAAGACCAAGACCGCATATGCAAGACCAAGACCAAGACCAAGACTAGCCCGGTCTTGGTCTTGGTCTTGCATTTGCTCATCACTACATAGTTGAGATTTGGTCGTTGATATAGGGATGCTTTGTGAAATGAATATGGTGACCCATATTCCAGACAAAATCACATTCAAGAATTAATAATGTACAACAAAGAAAATTACAAGGAAACAATGAATCGAATTTTGAAAAATCTTTCAAAAACAAAAACTTATTGACATTATAGAGCAAAACCACACGTATTGTGTAATCTGATGGCCGCAACCACAACAATACCAACTCATGGTATGACTTATTACCAGTTGGTTTAAAACTTCGATTGAACACTTGTGTTTTCCTTAGGAAAATCTTTGTTTGGTTTTGAAATCAATAATAACTGATTATGTAAAATAAACTTATCTAACGAATAACAACCAAAATAATGTGCGAACGAAATTTATTGCTAGTCATTGTTGTTTTAGAAGCGGAAAATGGAAGTATTGCTATTCAAAATATGGTAACCAATAAAGCAACCGATGTATGAACCATTATATTGGTGCAAGGTCCTCAGACGTTGGATGACACTGCGACTTTAGTTGAAAATCATCAACTTGCTGAGAATCATCTGAAATTCAAAAGATGATCATCTAACAATAATAACACGCACACACAATATTCAAGTGACATTTGCTAACTTCAAAAAAAAAAACTAATAAATTTTTTTCTCACAGCCCATTTTAATTCAGCCAAAATCCAATGTTCAGCTCAAATTTAGTACAAATCCTGGAACATTTAGCAAACATTTCGAAGCCCACTTCCAGAGTTTCGACGAAACTCTCAAACAGTTAGAACACAATACACCAACCTGGCCCAAATTCTCGACCGCAAAGAAAGACAATCGAAGAAACTATTATTATTTTTGAGACAACAAAATGACAATTTTTAAGATTCTTTGGAACAACAAAATTTTATGAATTCTCGAGAAGACTCTCAGAATAGAAACTTTCCAGTCATTATTATATTTGAATCCATACCAAATAATTCAAATTCTCTTCCCACAATTAAACGATCCTTATTAAAAGATGAGTATATAGAGCTTCTTTAAATAGACCTCCGACTGCAGAAGAATATTTTTTTAAATTTAATTATAAACCCTCAAAATAAACTAAGAATCTGCAAGGTAACAAGGAAATCAGATAAGAAATTATTTTCACCGATTCTACAAAAAAATACTATCGGGAACGATATTGAATCATTAATGGATAATTTTCATGATTATTTCGATGAAATAATCGAACTGAAAATATTACAGGAAAATATTTTAAATATACTTAGATTTCTCTATTGATGTAAGCCTAACAAAGGACAAAATAGGAATTCTTTTTCAATTTAGGACAGGTGCAGTGCCTTTGGAAATTCATCATTAGACTAGTCATCTCATCCAACTTAGTATTTAGACGAGCTTACATGAGTAAGCATTAGTTACAATGACGATAATTTTGACATATCTTATATAGAACAAGAAATTTTATAAGTTATCACCAATATGTGATTATAAGGAAGACTAACGGAAATATTCACGTACCGAAAATTTGATTTAGGAAGAATTTGGGGTTTACATCACTCAGTAAATGCTTCTCTCGAAATATTCAACAAACCGAACAACGATACAACATTAATTAATTCCGATACAATACATACCAAAGATTATAGCTACCAAACAAATGGTTTACAATTTACAGAAATGTTATAAATTAACATCATCCATTTATTTTGCAGTCGCTGGTCATCATCTGCATGGATGATATTAATTGTATTATGGAAATGTTATTTTTTTCTGCTCCTGCACACTGGTAGTAATAAATACGGATATCTGTGGGAATAATAGACACATAAAGTTTGTGACGCTTTCGCGAAAACACTTCATCAATAGACACATATGCATTAAAATTTTGCGAACAATATGACATTCATATCTCAACACTCAAGGCGCACCCTTCTGACACAATGCAAAGTAAACACGGGGGGGCCGATGATGCGGAAACTTCGATAAAAAATTGATGAACGTGGAATATAAAAGAGTGCAAATGCAAAGCTTAAAGGGGATGCATGCATATTCATGAACAGCAGGATACGGTCGAACACAATCTATCTCTTTATCCCGCCGCATCTACTGATCAACTCATTATTTATAGATGATGCAAGATACAAAACAGCAGAGTCGCACTAGCGCTATTTGAAAACTAGAATTCATTGGCGTCGGTCGGTCCTCTTATTATCGCCAAAATTAAATCTCTCTGATTTTCAATAAATAAGGGTGCTATACTTTGAAATCACCCGTTGCCAAGTTATACAAATTGGAATTTTTATTTTTGCGTTGCTAGGGCAAAAATTGTATTCGGAGAATTGGCTCTTGGTCATTAGCTTTAGTTACTTCCATATCACGTTGGTCTTTGGAGCGTCCAATAACGCCGATGAGCTATCATCAGTTCTGCGATCTTGGATGTTGCTAGGTTGTTTTCAGCTTGTTATTCTGAAAGATAGTACCTATCTTTTATGACGGGACCTTGCTTTAGGCATTTGCTTGGCAGAAGAGGATTTTATTCTCTTTACTGTTGTGTAATGGCAATAGTGCCTGTCGGATACCCTGCCGACTCTGGCAAGGAAATCTCTTGACAAAATAACTTTGTCTTAGCAAATTCGCTTACAGGGCAAAGCTGGACCACCTTAGTTACGTGCTCAGAATTGTTTCGCTTACCATATTGGGTGAATTAACTCATAGAGCCGCAAAATTGATCGCATCACGTGCCGAATTAAATACTTGGCAATTAGTAAAAGAGTCGCTTACAACTATTTTTTCTGATCAAATATTGATAGATTGTTTAATTCAGGATTTATTAATGCTAAAACCTCAAAAAAATTAATCACCAATAAATTTTGCATGCATATTCAAGATGCACGCAGTTTGCTTTTTGCGAAATTAAATGCCACTAATGAAGATCAAAACGTGAAATCGATAAAAATTGAGCATTATGATAGTTTTGCGTTAAAAACTTTTATTAATGGATTGCCTTATAATATGCAGCTTGTTATAAGGTTGGAAAATCCTAAATCGTTGAAAACAGCCCTGTCACATATAAGAGAAGAAAATTTTATGTATTTCAAAAATTAAAATTCACATTTTGGTAATGCAAATAATTCCCAAAGAAATTTGAGACCAATTTTAGGGACAAAACATATGTATAATCAGACGAATTTTAGACCAAACTTTGCGTCATATAATCCACAAATGTTATCACCCAATAACAATTTCCCAAGACAAGGACTACAATTCGCTAATTCAAATTTCAGACCAAATTGGTCATTCCCTCAAAATAAGTAATAATTTCAGACCAAATAACATGCAAACACAAAACCCAAATCAAGGCAACCAACCGATAAGACCCACTAATTATCAACAAAATTTCAATCGAAATCCCACACTAAAAAACAAATTTGTCTAATAATCGAACAACACCAATGGACACTAGTTCAGGAAATACGGTGCTTAACAATGCCAATAATAGACCCTGGTTCACTTTTCAAGAGCTTATAGGTAATCAGGAAACATCTGATTTAGAACCAACCCCAAATAAATTCCAATCGATGGATTCGACAACACAAGCACCAATTGATCAAAACAAATATTTTGATGAATCATGCTATGACCAATATTCCAATGACCCCTATAATTACTATTTTAAAGAAGAATATTCTTTGCAAGAACAAGATCAATATTATCCCTATTATCAATATAATGAAGTTCCCTACGAACAAGACAATCAACTTTCAGCTCAAAATCAAACTCAACAAGAGCTAAATTTTCTCCCAACTTTTCAACCCAAGAAACCGAAATAGTATATTTGAACAACCAATCCATAGAATTACCACATATTTATATCCCAGAAATTGATTCTAAATTCTTAATCGATTCTGATAGTACACGCAGTTTTATCAATCCCAATATACCACTATTTTGCAAATTGCATAAAGGATTAATTATGCCAAGTGCAAACCGCACACGCAGTATCATTTCACAATCAAACTGTAGAATTTCCTTCGTTTCCCAGTTTTAAATGTAACGGGATACACAAATTCTATTTATTCAATTTCTCGGATAAATTTGATGGATTGATTGGCTTGGATTCACTAACACAATTGAAAGCAAAGGACCCCGCACACATCTTATGGAATTTTGATGCCCGGTCAAATTTGATGAAATTTTGCTATGTTGTTTTTCTTGAGGTCCTGATCAACAATGTCCAGAAGCACAAATGAATCCTATGACTAGTTTTTGAGATACAGGGTGTTTAAAAAGTTGAATATCCGATTTTAACTCTAACCAAACTATTTTTTGGGGTTTGGACGAAAATGATTGAGATGAAGCAATATTTTTACATAAATAAATTGTTGAAGACATAAACTACACACCTAAACGATTTTGTATACAGGTCGTAGTACCAAATGTTTTTTTTTTTTGTCCAATTATTATCGGAATACTACATAAAACGATTTTATGTAGGGTGATAGGTACTTTTAAAATATTCTATATTTTATTTATAGAAAATTGTTATTACTTGAAAAATCATTGCAGTTTCCAGTTATATTTGAATATGCCAGATACAGGGTGTCTACTTGAAAGTTAGCTACTGCGTATAAAAAACCTTATTATTTGTCATTTCTCAGAAAATATTATTGACAA